GATCAGTAGATAGAACCGATATATGAAAGTACATGCTGCACAAACTCCTACACGAAAGACTTTTTCACCCAACAATAATCAGATGTTTGATCTGTTCGTAGTCAAGGAACTAAAGCCACTTAGTTGGTCTTACAACAAAACAAATAAAAGAACCTATCAAACTAGAATAAATATGTGAATATGATTTTTCATTAATTATATCTTGATGGGATACCCTGTATGGATGACACCGCCATCATAATAAAAAAAATGTGGTTTTGCATTTGTTTATTCGTACAATCGAGAAGACATTGTTTAAAGTATAACAAATGTACACCGAAGTGTTTTTATCTACCACATGTGGTCTTACAAACAAAAACTAGTTTTTACGATTTCAAATATTATCGCCTAACACATGTGGCTTAACAATATAAACGTTTTAAAATTTTTTAAATATTTATTTATTTATGATAGCTGTTGTGGTAACGGGTAATATTATTTTTTTTTTAATTTATAAATTTTAACGAAAAAAAAAAAGATGTTTCTATAATACTATATTTCACGGTCAAGCTTACGGGCAAAAATAAAAGTGTACTCACTAATTTAATAAATAAAAGTCAGCCCTATGTGGTCGGTACACAGTGGAGACGGGAAGTCGACGGGTCTTCAGGAGATATTATAGCTGAAAAGGATGAAAATAACTAAAATATGTTAAATTGAAAGTTAAACAATTTGTCTACTTTAACCTTAATCGTAAAAAATAAAAATATAGAACTTTTCAATTTTCAACTTGTCCTACTAAAATGTCGAGAAAAATGGCTACATCGCGTTGAAATTTATATGATATGTATATATATATAAAGAAAATATGTAGTTATTGTGTCCCCTTAAATAAAAATTATAAACATTTCCCGACCTTTCTACACATGTTTAGATTAAAAAACGCTTTTTTTTTTTTTTTAAGGACGTTTATTAGCAAACTTACAATCTATACAGATATATGTACAATAAGTGATTATGCGATGAAAAACAAAAAGAGATGGGGCAGTGAGGAGGAGGCTCACATTAGAGCCACCTTTACATAAGAAATTTTAAATTAGGTTAATTTACATTAAGTAAGTCTCTTGACCAGTTTCGTTTGAGGCGTCGGTTTGGGTTGCCCGGAAGAGTTTTTGAGCGTAGCTGAGTGACAAGTCGGTTTGGATGGCATTGCATTTTGTAATGTAGTCTTTGGTAGTAAATAGATGCAGTCGTTTTGACTGTTGCTATTTTGAGGTCTTCGTGAAGGGAGTCGTTGGCGACGTACCACGGGGCTTTGGTTACAATGCGGAGACAAATGGACTGGAACGCCTGAATTGTCCTTATGTTAGAGCTTTTTGCAGCACCCCAGTGCGCAATGCCGTATGACCATATTGGTAGGAGGAGGGATTGTATAAAAGTAAACGGTAGGAAATGTTCTGATTGGATTGAATGAGAGGTGTAATTAGATGAAGGCGAGTATTTAGCTGTTTCCGTTTACTTATAAGATGGGGACCCCATGTGAGCCTCCTGTCGAATAACAAGCCCAAGTATTTCGCTTCCCTTGCACGTGGAACAATGGTGTTGTTGAAAGTTATGCCGGGACAGTCATTTTGACGAAGGGTGAAAGT